TGCTACTGACCCCATCGATAGACCGAATGACCGTGGCTTTGGTGTCCACTGTAGCAAAAATGACCACATTCGAGTGCCCCACATTTCAGTTCAGTGCCCCACGGAATAGCAAAAAAATCTTCCCAGATTGGAAAGATGTATTTTTAGCAAAATCATAAATCGTCTTAGCTCTCCGTTGCAAATCAACAAACACGCTGTTAAAATCAATTGTACACCAATGATCGACCCGAACTCCGAGCATTAGCCAAGGCAAAGAGCTCAATTGATCCAATAACTTCTGCGCCTCTGTGATTGAGGTAACTTCCGGGGCATTCACTGCCTCGCATTCATCTTTGCGATGCCCAGCTTGATGCGAAAGGAATTCATCTAATGACTAAAAAGGGACTTGATACAAAAATTTTAAATAACCCATTTCTTCTTCATCAAGTTCCAAACAGGCTATTTCTTCTCCAAAAAGACGGTCATCAATAGACACAATGTGTAAAGTCCTCGATCAGATCGCATTATCCTCTGGTAACTGCATCACCGGCTGAATCAATGTGGATTTGAACCCTGCTTTCATGAAAGCGTTGATCAGTACGTCTGGGTGCACAGACACCTAAGCTTTCTTGATCAGATGCCGAAAATTCACAAGCCAATTGTGCCACTTAAACCAGTGATTGACATGAGTAATTCAGCCTACCACACCATAGCACAGTGGATTGTAAAAATTCTAGAGCCTGTGCACAAATTACTAGCCAGATATATCGTAAAAGATACTTTCTCATTCGTTGATCGTATCAGAAATCAAGACGTGTCATGTAAGACCATGCTCTTCTTGGATGTAGAATCTTTGTTCACAGATGTACCCCTGCTGGAGACGGTAGACTATAGTAGTCAGCACATTACTGAAAACAATATTCAGATCGAAATACCCGTGACAAAACTCAAAGAACTCATACTGGGATGTACTTGGAACGTACATTTTTTTATACAATCAAAAATACTATCGACAAAAGGATGGTGTAGCAGTGGGATCACCGTTTGGCCCACTCCTGGCAGATATATTTTTAGCCAAGCTCGAAGTAGGACCATTGAGGAATGCAATTGACAATCTAGATATACACAACAGATATATGTATGATATGTTCATTATTCGTGAATCCGGAACGTACATTGATAAGTTACTTCAAATATTTAACACTGCTCATCCGGGTATACGATGTACAATGGAGATAGAAAAAGACAACTTTTTTGCCTTTCTGGACATTGGTCTTCGACGTACAAACGAGGGCTATATCGAAAGAACAGTGTATCGTAAACGCACGTGAATTGGACAATACACACATTTTCAAAGTTTCGTCCCACTGAGATACAAACTTAATTTAGTGAACTGCCTGGCATACAGGGCAAGGGGAATTTGTAGTCCGGGGACCCTGGATAAAGAACTGACCAACATCCTCGGGAAGAACAGATATCCAGAAGCGTTTTTTCTACGATATATGGAGTCAAAACTGAACGATGTAAGAACACAACTGGCTTGAAAGAAGGAGGTGTTTGTCAACGTCCCTTTCAAGGGAGACAGGGCAGTTGAAATCTTGGAATATCGGCTATCTAAAGCCATTGCCAACTGCTTTCCCGCGGCGCATTTACGACTGTCATCGAGAACTAAGCCGTTCCTTGTTCAACAGCTTAAGTATAATTTGCTTCAACAGTCCCAATCTTTTGATCTATATCAGTTCACGTGCACTTGTAGTGCTCGGTGTATCGGACACAACGAGGTGTCTGTCTAAGAGAATATCTAAACATTGTCCGGCCGCTCTTCGAAAAGGAACAGTGAGAAGTATGATTAGCTCAATCCTGCAACGTTTGGTCCACGGTGGACACAGGATTGACACAGAAACAGTATTTCAAAGTTTCTTCACTGCACCGAAGAACCACACCAAAGGATTACGTAAGAAGATCCTAACAATTGCGGAATCTACAGCAATTAGGGTCCTAAAGCCGGAGTTGTGCAAACAATGTAATCTGGTTCAAGCACTGCTGTTATCATGGCCATAAGAACAATTGTCCATATCTCTATGTTATACTTTCTGTTCCCTCCCCCACTTCTCATTCTCTGCCTCCCTTCGCACACTTTCACACCTGTTTTATTCATTCTTGACTAACACCTTTCCTGTCGTGTTCAATTCACACATTTTTATCCGGCTTTCCCCTATCCAATTATCGTGACCCCACAGACTGTTGTCAACCAAACATTTTGCACACAGACATTCATTCAACATCAGCTTTGGCCTTGTATTATTCGACTGACTAATCGAAATATATAGGCAAATGCCTGAAACGATATATCGAAAAGAAATTTGTTCGCGCTTCGACTTTGTTCTAATAGATAATAATAAAAGTTATGTATGAACCACTTTTTTCCGCCTTAAAAGTGACTATTTCACTTTGATGTGGTGAACAGCAGAAAAGCCCCATGGTCACCAGGACCTGCTATTCCGTGATGGCAACCGACAGCCTAAGTCTCGAGATTGATGAACCACATAAGACCCCGAAAGGTTAGGCGTGTTATTGAACCGGACGACAACAAATCTGCCTACCACCAAAGTTGGGTGGTGGTGGCAGGGCTCACAATTAGTTCGCAACGGACGAGAAGTGTCATTTATTGAATCACAAGAATGACTTTTCCCGAGCTCCAGATTTGTTTGAAGCTAACGGTCTCACGGGGTTCGACCGACGCAGAAGTTTTGGATCCTCGTGAACAAAAGGGGAAACGGAGTTGAGTCATGTTTCAAGTGACAGTTGACGAAAAATCCTTCAGCGATTGCTAAATTGATTGTTTGCGGACGTAACTAGTGAGGTAGGAGCAGCGGCGGATTCGGGAGCTAGACTGCTCATATTAACTAGTACCAGTAGCCGATGGATCTTGGTTAGCTTACTAAATTTTGGTACTAATGAACTCATCATTTACAATGGGGAGTAGTAACATACGTTTAATTATTCTGTCTTGTATGCTTCCTCACCCTTTAGTTCAGTACTGTTTCTCTGGAACGAAACACGTTCACGTCAATCACGTTTTCTTCAATGTTCATTACATGGGAAGAACTGCATTGTTTTTGTGAACCCAGTGCATTATATATTAGTATTATATTTCATACGTCTGAATCCAGACCATGTACCAAGCAAATCGTGGTGCAATAATCTTTATGGAAAACAAAAACGTTCCATAAGTTGCATATGGGTGGATTATTGCCAGGTTGCCCAGGCCAAGGTAGGTGAATCTTCTTGAGGGATCCACAACTGGAGCCTTTGGCTAACCAAAGCCTGACCCGCAAGGCAGCTAGGTGGTGTGTGAAAACCGCAATTCACTGTGGATCGGTGTCTAGTTTATCGGATCATACACCCTTCGGACGGGGTCAAACGTCCAAGGTGCCCAATACACCTCGATGCTCAATCGAGCCGATGACCACTGCCACAACCGAAAAGGTGTGTGTGGTTCGTACGCCTCTTTGGCTGGTTTGGAATCAGAGTTTCTCACCAATCGCCATAGGTGAACTATCAGTGGTCCANGCCCCGGATGTCGGCTTTCCTTCCTCTCACTTTGGTGGGAAACACCTGTCACGAGAAGGCAGTAAGTAGGGCTTCCTCAGCAGAGGCTATTCGAGACGCTTGGTCTTATGGGAGCATTTCGCGAGTTGCAAGGGAAGGGTGACTGGCCGACCGACCATACTGAGGCTTTTGGAGGCACCCAGTGCATTAATGAACAGCATAAGTGATCTCTCACTAGTAAGTTTGCTTCGATACCAGTAATTGAAGTCTAAATTGCCCACCTCATTATTCTCAATAAAATATCTCACGACTTAGCATCTTTTTGATCACACTTGTTGAGCAGTGGGTGAACCGAAACCCATAGTCTATAAAGCTTAATATTTGGCAATGTAAATTGATAACTCAAACCACATCGATTTCTGTGGTAGATAATGGATCAGCGCTATCCTCGGATCATAAGCGGCAAGAGGGACGTCAGTGTGGGTTTAATCAACTGACGGATGGAGTATTAGAGCAGTGCACTAGAAAAGATTGGACATAAGTGAACGTGATACATACAATGACAGCTAGCAGGTAAGAGTTCCAGTCTGCAACAAGTCACAATATAACACACTTGATTTACCATCTGGTGACGTCGGAGCAGTCTGCCATAAGAGTTGGACGATTACAGGTTTCAAACCTCATTATTGTTCTGAGACCGTACCATGTCTTCAGTGTCTCCAGTTCACCGATATGGGAGCTTTTGCGCTCCAGTCCCTGGGGTTTGTCATACATATTTCGTTGCTGTGACATCTGTTTCTGTTCCGTTAGTTTTCTTTTCCTGTCCTGAAGCAATAATTTGAAAAGTGCTTTCTAAAGGACTGCAGAGGCAAATATAGAAGCTGTGAGAAAAGGATGCAGCATATTCCGTCTGAATCTATCACGCCTTTTCCGTTTGATGGTTGTTTTTTGCAATGAAACACTCCGTAGTATACGCCAACTTACTGGTTCTTGTTTGAGTCTTTCAAGTGCACTGTATCATTGAAGTAACATCAGATAGAAAATATGCTTTTTGTATTGTTCGTAGATTTGTTTTGCTTAAGTCGGATTGCGAATGGATCTATGATGAATTTTACTCCTCAAGACATGTGATAAAATAAGCCCGGTGAAGTTTAACTTGAGGAATATATGATTTTCTATTCCAATGTGATGTGAACTCCGTATCTCAACTGACGTGATTCTTTCTGTTCGGTAACCAACGCGTCCTCTGTTCCCATACGCTATCCCAGCTTACTTCGATGGCTGCATTACAGCAAGCGACACACCTGCGAGTTGTGTCATCACCGGTTCGCATTTGCCCCAATCTATGCTTCTGGCACTCCTCGCTTCGTTCCGTTCCGGGTTCTTATGGCCGGACTGCTTCGCTGCGCTCGCCGTTCCGTCCTTGATTGGCTGCACCTAACCATGGTGTGTCTTGCCTGGCTCATTGTTGTTCCTCTGACCGCATGTCGCATCTATCGCTGTCTGTTCACCGGCAGTGTGTCATCTTTGTTGACTTTGCCGTTGGACATGCTGTCTACGAGACATCTGTTACAGGATTGCTTGCAAGTGAGTGAACACCTATCAGTCAGTTGGAGGCTCTTGATCCAGAAATCGTAAATGCATTTGTGGACTTTGAGGTGTTTAGGGTGGGGGTAATGTTCTAACTGCATCCATCGCTCACTATCACGTGGGCTCAAGGGTCGTGTGCATGTGTGTGTGTCCATATCGTACCGCCGAGGTCTATCTTTCTGAAAACCCTAAAAAATCATTGTCCAAATGAATTTATTCGATAAAAGAGAGCAAAACAATCAGATATAACGAA